AAAAAAAAAAAAAAAAAGTAAAACTAAAAGGTTGGCCATGTCAATCCCCAGTACAGGAAACAAAAATTAAAACAAAACACGATTTCTTGCAAGGAATTGTGGTACACACCTGTTAATCCTTGCTACTCAGGAGGCTGAGGCATGAAGGTGTCAAGTTCAAGACCAGGCTAGGCAACTTAGCAAGACCTTGTTCCAAAACAAAATAAAAAGGGGGCCAGGGATTTAGCCCAGTGGTTCTGGCACCTGCCTCACAAGCACAAGGTTCTGAGTTTGATCCCTGGTACCAAAAATTAAAAAAAAAAATAAAAAGGGCTGGGGATGTAGCTCAGTGCTCCCTGGGTTCAATCCCCAGTGCTGCCAATAAGTAAACAAATAAATTCTTTTTCTTTTTTATTTATTTTTTTGCCAAGGTAAGACTTGAATTTGCAGTCCTCCTGCCTCAGCCTCCTTCAATACTGGGATTACAGGTGTGTGCCACCAGGCCCAGCTATGTAAGATTTCTTTAAAGTATATACTTTCTTGGGTATAATATTTCTGAATCATTTCAGGAAGAAAGTTGAAAACTTAAAAAATTGGCAAAATAAATCTTAGCTTGCCTTGTGTGTGACCAAGTTAAAAGAGAAACATCACCCTAATTCAATAGCTTTTCCTGCTGTGTAAGTTACAAAGGACACCGTTAGGATTCTTTGGGGGTACAAAGGCAATTAAAGCCCCTATTCACCAGGGATCCTGACACAGAAACACTTCGGTTCAGTTTCTAATACTCACAGTGGAGTTGGCAAAAATTGAGTTGGAGTTGGCTGCAGGGTACCCTGCACTCGTCAAGTCATCGCTGCTCTGCAAAGGGACAAAGTCAGCACAGTGGTTACTGAGACTGGAAGGAGAAACCCAGTGTGTGTCTGTGATGTGCTACACGTTACTTACAGGTTTATTACTAGGTCCATGTAGAAAATAGTTCAATGCTTGCGGGTCTCTGGAAAAGAAAAATTTAAAAAGGGAGAAAACAACAAATACATATATAACCTGTGTTTAGGATTATTACTAGGGCAAAATGAAAATGACATGCTAGCCTGAGTAAAATCACTATTTTTTTTAAAAAAACAGGATCTTGCTATGCAGTTCAGGCTGGCCTTGAACTATGTAGTGACGGCTGGCCTGGAACTCATGGCCTCCTGCCTCCCCCTACTCCCTCCCGACCCAGTGGTGGTATTACAGGCGTGCACCACCATTCCCAGCTAATCGCTCACCATTTTAAAATGATTTTCTCCATAGCTTTTTGTTTTGTGTTTATGCTGTCTCATTTCCCATCATGATTCATTTCTGCCTTCCATGACTGTGTGTGCACGCGTGCACGAGTGCAAGAGACATTGCTTGAACCTGGGGCCTTTAGATGCTAAACACAGGGTCTACCACTGAGCCACACCCACAGGGGTTTTTTAAACAAAAATTTAATAAGGGACTCCTGAATAGTGACCCCATGTTGACACAGACTTCCTTGTGGTCTTGCTGCTTTGACTACCATGATTCTTTATTTTAAAACCCAGTGAGGACCAGGGATTTAGCTCAGTGGTTTCGATGCCTGCTGTGCAAGCGCAAGGACCCAAGTTCGATCCCCGGTGATAAAAAAAAAACCAACCCAGTGAGTTTTAATATACTTAGGCTGTTTTGTTCAGCAAACCTCACACAGTTGATTCCCCAGATGTGGGAGGAGCCTCTTACCCAATAAGATCGAGGAGACAGGAGTCATCATCATCATCCATGACAACTGGAGAGAAGGAAGAGGAAAGCACATTTCAGCAAAGTGGACTGGAGCCAGAGGTTGTTGATGCAACATAACAACACACACGATGCTTTTCTGGATAAATAATGCTTATATATGAGTTTTTCCTCTAACTGCGTATTATTAATGCAATTTTAAAAAATTTTATTGTGAGGCTTGGTGGTGGTCCTGTAGTTCCAGCTACTAAGGAGGCTGAGGCAGGAGATCGTTTCTGAGCCCAGGAATTCAAGCCTAGGAGTTGGAGGCCAGCCTGTACAACAGAACAAGATCCAGTCTCAAATAAAAGTAAATAAGGCTGGGGATGTAGCTCAGTGGCACTGCTCCTGCCTTGCAAGTGCAAGCTCCTGAGTTCGATCCCAGGTACCAAAAAAAAAGAGAAAGTATTCATTTTAAGGTGGGCACAGTGGTGCACAACCTGTAAACTGCAGCAGTGAGGGAGTCTGAGGCAGGAGGATCACAAGTTTGAGACCAGTCTTGGCAACTTATTGAGACTCTGTAACAAAAAAAAACAAATTTAAAAGGGCTGAGAGCCAGACATGGTGGTGCTTGCCTATAATCTCAGCATTCTGGGGGAGGCTGAAGAAAGAGGGTCGCAAATTCAAGCCCAGTCTGGGCAACTTAGCAAGACTTTGTCTCAAAATAAAAAGTAAAACAGGGCTGGAGACAGCTCAGTGGTAGAGCATCCCTGGGTTCAATCCCCAGTACTGCCAAAAAAAAAAAAAAAAGGATAGCACTCAATCTAAATGTTTTTAATTGAAAATAAACCCTCAAAAGCAAGTCAAGAAGGATTCTAGACCAATCAGATAGCTGGCAGCAGATCCCCAAAGGGACCATAAAGAAACAGATCAGTAACTTCCTCAACTGGAGAGCAAGCTAGGAGGGGAGTGACATTTCAGTCTTAGAAAAGATGTCAGATTCAGAAGGCTTTACAGTTTATGGCTGGGTGTCTGGATGCGGACAGAAACCTATACGTCTGGCTGAAGGTCAGTGGCCCTCACTTGGGATGGAGAAGCAGGTCCCCCCAGATTGGAGACAGAAGAGGGCCTGGTCTGCAGGCCTGGCTCTTCCCTCTGCACACTGAACTGTTCATTTCCCAGCAATCCACGTCCCCACCAGGACACGGAGAGTAGGAACCTCACCCAGCCAGCGGTTCTCCTGAAACCCTGACAACTAAGGGCACAGGTCCTAGGAGTGGCTCCCGGGATCTAGGTCACTTACACTATCGATCCGCCACCCAGCAACACGGCCTCACACCATCTGCAACTGTGTGGAACAGTTGACATCACAGAATGCCAGCCCCAGGGTTCTGGGCGGCTGGGATGGGCAGCTGTGAGAAGCAGTTGGCTGAGGGTAAAGCCCTGAAGAGATGCCCAGGGGAGTGGCTGGCCCAAGGCACTGCTCAGTGTCTGCTCTGTCAGACCTGCATCTCCTCCCTGGTTCCCCCAGATCTGCCACTCCATCAACCACAAGGCCAAGACAGAGTGCACTCCTGCCACTGGGTGATGACAATCCATGTGAGTACAAGAGCTCAGTGGAGAGAAGAAATGGTGGGGAGTAAGAAAGAAGGAAGAGAAAGCTTACAAGAGGTGCTGGAAAAGAGGGAGAGTGGTGAGCTAAGGGAAAGGTGCTTGCTAGAGCTGGATGCAGTCAGGTCCCCACGGTGTTAGGGGCCAGGACTGTGGAGTAGTGGGGACTGGGAGAAGGATCAGGAAAACTGCCACCAGATACACAGGACTCATGGAAAGGTGTCCCTGAACCTCGTGACACTCACAGCAATGGAACTGCATTGGCCATTACTATTCTACAATGGGCTGGTCTCCCAGACATCACAATCACATGGAATAAACCAGATGATTATGAGATAGTTAAGCCTATCAGTAGATGTCATAGATCATTTTAGTGGACTTCTACTGTATCTTTTGTAAGTTTATTTTTATTTTAATTATTTTCAGACGGGGTCTAGCTATGTTGCCAGACTGGCCTTGAACTCATGATCCTCCTGACCCAGTCTCCTGAGTAGCTGGGAATTACACGTGTATACCACCTCACTGGCTGCAAGTTTATTTTCTTCTATTTTTTCGGTACCAGGGTTCAAACTTAGGACCTTGTGCTTGTGAGGCAGGCGCAGCACCACTGAGCTAAATTCCCAGCCCCAGCAAGTTTATTTTTTAAAGCACCTAGGAACAGAGTGTGGTGGTACATGCCTGTAATCCATCATTCTGGGAGGCTGAGGCAAGAAGATTGCAAATCCAAGCCCAATCTGGGCAACTCTGTGACTTAGTGAGATCCTGTCTCAGAAGAGGGGAGGAGAGGGGAGGGGAGGAGAAGAGATGAGATGAGATGAGATATGAGATAAGGCTGTGGATATAGTTCAGTGTGAAGGCCCTGGGTCCAATCTCCAGGACCACAATCAATCAATCAATCAAGCATCTACTGGGGCCGGGGATTTAGCTCTGTGGTTCCTCTACCTGCCTCAAAAGCACAAGGTCCCAAGTTCGATCCCCAGTACCAAAAAAAAAAAAAAAAAATCAAGCATCTACCATTCTTGGATATGGTTAATTAATAACGAATGAAACAGATCACACCAAGGAAAAGCACTTTCACATCTCCCCCAGCCTCTTTCATCCGGACTCCCTCACCTCCCTCCTTCCTCCATTTACTGGATCCCCAAAGTTGTCAAACAAGCTCTGAGGAAGGTCAGCCCAGGCCACACCACTGCCACCACAATGTCACTGCCACCAGGGCTGTCAATGACAGAACATTTGTTACCCTAAAGTTGCAAGTGACAAGCTAGTCCTTAAAGAGTCAAAATAAGGGCTGGAGATTTAGCCCAGGGGTTCTGCCGCCTGCCTCGCAAGCACAAGGACCCAAGCTCGATCCCCAGTACCAAAAAAAAGAAAAAGAGTCAAAATAAAAGAATGACTTTATAATAGTGATGAGATTAAAAGCCAGTGTGCACCCTCCTGTCCGAGGCTACTCTCACCCTGACCTGGAAGCGTGCTCCCTGGAGATAACCAGCTGTTGGTGCATGAGTGCCCTCCCAGGCAGGGCGCCCCCAGGGAGACATCCACAGCCTGCACAGTTGGGGTACTCTGGGGTCTCCTTGCCACCGGCCCACACTCTTTTCTGACTTAAACAGGTTTTCAAAGGATGAGAGATGACCCTCCCATCCCTTGCGTCCCTGGCTGTACAGTCCCAAAATGCAAGCCACCCCTTTCCTCAGCATGACCCACAGCCACAGAGACCCAGGCACCAAAGTAAACTGTCAAACTGAGTGACTCTAAAGTGGGAAGACGCTAAGGACTCAAAGCGAGGTGTTGGGAACAAACCCTCATATCTGTGAGTGGCTGCTGAGACCAGGTGGATTTTGCAAGGCTGTGTGAAAACGGCACCCTCCTCTAGGGGTGACTGGAAACTATTTCCTGGACCCGTGTGTGTGACAAGACACAGGCCCCTCGCCACAGCAGCTCTCAATCACAGCATCTGTCACTTTTACCAAGTTCTGACAGCACCCACAACTCAGATTCCCGGCCCAGATACGTGACTACTATCGCTAAAAAAATGAAAAAGCTAGTATTTAAAATTATTATTATTATTATTTTTTGGTACCAGGGATCGAA